ATTTCTTTCGACCTAGAACTGTGTACCATGAATTCCAGTTTGCACTAAGTAGCTGAGAAACAGCTCATGGGAGGCCTTTCCGAAGAACAAGCAAGTGCCCTACTGTGCTTGAGTCTACTAGTGTTTTCTCCACCTTTTAGACTGCTACAAGGGGAGCAGAGGAGATGGGGGCTCAGAAAGCTGAAGACAGCAATAGGATGTCCTCTCTCTCTGCATGGTCCAGGTCCTACCCTCTCAGGATGATGAACACTGGGGAAGTGTAAGTCTTCATCAGCAACAGAGTGTCATTGTTGAAGGGTGTGCAGGCTAAAAACATGTTTCACTCCTTTGGAGTCCCCATCCCCTTCAGAACCTGAAAAAAGAATCAGAAAATTCCACTTGCTTTTTCCTATTTAATGAGGTCGAACATTCTTAAGAAATGAAAAGTGCAGCTCCAGCCTAGCTTTTAATTAGCTTCAGGAGCCCTTGTTTCAAACTAGCCTCGTTCCCAAAGCTATTTGCTCTCTGCTCTGAATGAGATGGAAATTCAATTGCATTTGCCTTGTCAAATCACAAGAAGATGCTCCCCCCCACTGCCAAGGTCACCGGGGAAAGACACTCACTGGCCAGCTAGGCACTGCCCATTTTGACCCCAGCAGAACACCAGGACCTGAAAAGGGTCACAAAAAGAAATTAAATCTGATGTTGCTCTTTGATCACCTAATGGATACTTTCTATGGAGTTTTGAATCAAATAGACAGAAGGCAGGACCAAATCTTGCCTTCTCCTCTGAGTGCCTGTACAAGTTAACTAAGGCCTCATGACTTCTGTTCCTTTATTCGTGGTATAGCTATTCAAGTCTACCTTGTAAGGTGATAGGTAGCACCAATGGAGTACTCTGAACAATCCCCATGCCATTTAAAGCATAGGTATACAATGAAGCCTATAATCCTAGCACCCAGAAGGCTGAGATTTGAGGAGCATAGTTTGAAGTCAGCTGGGGCAGAAAAGTCCATAAGAGTCTTATCTCCAGTTGACTACTCAAAAGCCAGAAGTGGAGCTGTGGATCAAGTGGTAGACCATTAGCCTTAAGCACAAAACTCAGGTTCAGCTCCCAGGCCCTGAGTTCAAGCCCAAGGACTGGCACCCAAAAAAAAGTACTTCTCCTTTTTTCTCATTTGTAAGATAGAGTTAGGTTCCCCTGACTCAGCCCTTTTCATGAATATCTCAAAAGGGTACTGTGACCTAGAGAGCTGAGCCTTGATTTTGTAGCCTGAGGCCAGTTATCAAATCCCAGTACTGCTTCCTCCTGACTATGAGACCATGGGACTTTCCCAGAGACTCTCAGTCACTTTATATTGAAAAGTTCCTCTGAAGGATTCCTGTAAGGACTAAATGAGATAGTGTACAGAAAGCTCTAGCCTGGTGCCTGGCACTGGTAAGTACACAATAAATTTACTAGCTAATAACAGCAGCATGAACATCCAAGAGTGCATTGTAAAATTTAAAAATCCTCTAAGATGTCCATCTTAAATCCTTTTTTGGAAAGAATGTGTCAGCGTTACCGGTGCTTATGTAAATGTAAGTGGTTATTATTTATGTAGGAGGACATTGCTAAGAATTATGCAGGAAGAGGGAGAGAACAATGGGAGGAAAAAAATTGATGATGTGTTTCAAAGGGGAAAAGAAGAAAACATAATATCTCACCCAGCAATATGGAAACAGCTCCATTTAACAACTCAGAACAGGTCAGGCTACCAAAAAAAAATTCCTGTCAATAGAATCTTCTCTAAAGAAAGGAAAAATGAAAAGAAATAGAATGCAAAGACAAAGGAAGAATAACTGCATCCTACTTCCTCTAAAATTAATCCTAAAGCTGTATTTATCCAACAGAATCTTACTAAACACCCGGCCCATGGGAGATGCAGAGACTTACCAAGCATGGCTCTGCCCACAGGGAATTTATAGTCTAATGAGGAACTTTCAACAAGTACATAAATAACTAATTAAAGGTAGAAAGTGAAGTGTTGAGAATCATTATCATCATCATTATTAGAAGTCATTTTTATAGAGTTCTTCCTCTTAAAAAATTTTGCCATCTATTTTATCCAAAAAGAACATTTGGGTAATAATAACATAAAAGAAGTTATACACTGAGTTTACAAAAAAAATTAAAATAAAAAAACTAGAAATTTGGATTAAAGCCAAAGAAATGGCAAAGGCTAATTAATATTAGTGTTGGATTTGAGCAGATTTAACTCAGCTTCCTGGAAGTCAAGGGAAAATGAAAACACATTATTCCAACATGTGTGTGTGTGTGTGTGTGTGTGTGTGTGTGTGTGTGTGTGTGTGTGTGTGTGTGTGTGTGTGTGTGTTTGAGTGCTTCGACAGAACTGAAGGCCTCACATATAAGGCAAGCTGTCTTACCACTTGATTCATGTTTCCAGCCACTTTTTGCCTTGGTTATTTCCAAAATAGGGTCTCACTTTATGTCTCAACCTGCCTGGGTTGAGACATACCTACCTACTTGTGCCTCCTTGTGTCATGGGAGATGACAGGCACATGACACTGCAACCAGCCATTGTACTTCTATAGTAGCTATAGTAACAGATCCATGGCACTGTGCCAGCCAGTTGAGTGAGACAGAGTCTTGTGAACTTTTATGCCCAGACTGGTTTTGAACCTCAAACCCCTGACTTCCATGCCCCAAGTAGCTAGGATTATAGGCTTGAACTAGATTGTGCTGTTATAATTTAGTATTTCTTAAATGTTCACAATTTCTTATGCAATTTCTACTTTAGGAATCTTGTGCTTTCTAATTAATTAACACATGTAAAAATCAATGCAGAGCCAAATCCTTGGTGGCTTATGACTATAATCTCAACTACTCAGGAAGCTGAGATCTGAGGATCAAGGTTCAAAAGCAGTGTGAGCAGGGAAGTGTGTGAAAATTTTATCTCCAATTTACCACCCATAACTTGGAAGTAGAGCTGTGACTCAAGTGATAGAGTGCTATCCTTGAGTGAAAGAGCTGAAGGATAGTGCCCAGGCCCTGACTTGAAGCCTAGCAACATACAGGTTTGTGAAATTTTGAGATGTTCAGTTAAGCACTGATAATTGCTAATGTTTAAACTCTATTTTGAGTGGAAAAAATCATCTGTATGAAGCACTAAACTTTTGTTAGTATTGATGTTGTTCTTCATTTCTGTTGGGGCTGTTTCTTAGCGAGCAGCTTTGTAGAATACAAGCTGTTTTACTTCTGATGTTTGTAAGGAAAAAAATTACATGTAATTTAAAACCTGAAAAATCTTTGTATCATTATGTTAGACCTGCTAATTTTATTTTCAACCAGATTTCAGTGTTTCAGAGGGCTTTGATCTGTCACAGGGCTCTCTTGGGTTAATTGCTGCTGCTCTCAAGTCATCTCCACTTAGACAGGTAGGTGGGAGGGAACAGAATTAGCCAATTGTACAGAAAATCAGAGATGCTTGCTTGCAAGGGTAGGGTACTTCTGAGAATTGCTGTGAATTTTGCATGCCACTGAGTAAGAAAGGAAGGAAGGAAGGAAGTGACATCTTTAAAATCCTGAGCTTGGGTAGACTGTGGTAAAGAGGACCAGTTGTTATTATTCTGGCTGGTTTGGGGCCCTGGTGTCATCCTTTATAGAGCTAGAAGAACAAGAATTTTAAAGATTCTTATTACCTTTAAAAATTGCAATCCTTAAAACATTCCCGAGCTTCATTAATGAGAAATGTAAAGGTAAATTAAAAATTAAAAAAAGAAATACAAACAAGGCAGAATTGTGTGTGTGTGTGTGTGTGTGTGTGTGTGTGCCGGTCCTGAGGCTTGAACTAGAGGTCTGAGAGGATACTGTCCCTCAGCTCTTTCACTCAAGGCTGACATTCTACCATTTGAGCCACAGCTTCACTTCAAGCTTTTTGGTAATTAATTGTAGATAGGACTCTCACAGACTTTCCTTCCCTGGACTGGCTTCAAATTCAGATCCTCTGATTGTCTGTGCCCATACTGCCTGAAGGTGATCAATTTTGTCTGATATCAGAAGCAAGGCAAGGTTCCGGTGTCTTAGTACTGGGATGAGAGAAATAAATGTAAGAGATTAAATATAAACAAATAACAGGAGGAATAAGAGGAAAACAAGGACAAGAGGCTGTGGCACTGAGCAGTTGTCTTTCTGACTTAGGCCTTGTAGTGTCCCTGAAAAGTGGGTTCCTAGACTTCAGCTAGTTGGGAGAAAGCCCTTGCCAGGCAAAGGATGAACAGACAGCCTGACTGCTGACCAATACTGCACTTGTACATTTGATTTGGCATGGCTCACAGGCCAGCTGCTGGCACAGAGTCAGGAGGGGCAGGTGGAAGGTTGGGGAAGGGGAAAGGAGATTATGCACAGTCGTTGCAGACAGGAGAAAGAGAAAGAGATCCAGAGGAATGAGACTGAGAACCGTCTCAGAGCAGGCAAGGCAGGAAAGCCACAGTGCGCTGGTAGGCTGCATACTGCTCTCCTTAGTTAGCAGGAAAAGGGCTGAGTGTGGTTATGGCTTCAATAGACACGCTGGGGGTACTGGACCAAATTTGGACAATGCATCAGTAGCTCTTTCTCATTCTCCCTTTTGACCATCCACGAATCAGGAATTCCAAATCAGCCATTGTATTATTGCTTCCTTCATTTTTCTGTAAGGTTAAGTATTTTATTGCCTTCCCAAACAATATTTGGGGAGAGTTTTCCCCTAAGTTCACGAAGATCTCGAAAGTGTTAGGATTTTCCTGACTATCTAGAGTGGACACTGGGAAGAATTAGCCTATCTACCCAACAGAGGCACTAGGAAATACAAGCAATATCCTCAAAATGGCCTGGCTCAGCCAATGGAAGAACAATTTGAACAAGTGCTGACTTGTCCATCCTGGCACCTTTCGCTCCGGCAACATTTTTCTCTGGTCCAAAATTTCAAGCAAGGGCCAAGATCACGGAGGCATGAGTAGTGCGTGTACTCACCAGAGGAGAGCTGGATTTAGGATGATATCTCAGTGTGAAGCCTTATTTAACAAGAGCCATGCTGGCTCTTCAGGTGGCTAACTGGCTAGGTGGGTCCTTTCTAGGTCTCTGTGCTGTTGTCCAGGCCCTGTAGGGAATGCATTCAAGTCACTTATGCTTGCTTGAAAATGTCACGAGATCATCACCTCTGCTGCTTGAGGAAGTTCCTTCTCTGTTGCTGGCATCAACATGTGATAAATTAGGCAGGATTCCACATTGCTGCTGAGGCTGACCACAGGTCCTGGGCCATGGGAGCAGCAAGATCTGGGCTTCTAAGTCATGCTCAAAAGCCAGGTCAGAATCATAGGAACTGGAATTACCAAAGTTCAGTCTCAAACATTTTTATACCGCTAGCCCTAAGGATACAGGTTCAGGTTCAGGCTCTGAAGAATGGTCTAGGTTCTAATCCTTCCTCTACTAAGGAAACTAGTAGTAGTTGTAATGGATGAAATCCCCATGTAATGCCACTGGTACAGATTTTGGCTATAAGCATCAGCCGACAAGGGCATCTACAATCATGACATCCGATTTCAATCTCCCGGTGATTCTCTTTTCATTTACACCATAATATCCCCTCTGTGCCACTGAGATTCCACACAGAGAACACTGAAAGTCAGAGTAACAATCAAAAACATCTATTCAGGAAAAGGACTTCAGAATATAATCTAGAGATAAGAAAAACCACACAAGTTAAATCTGATTCCTTCCTTCTTTCCTTCCTTCCTTTCTTTCTTTCTTCTTTTCTTTCTTTCTTTTTTTTTTTGTCAGTCATGGGGCTTAAACTCTGGGCCTGGGCGTTGTCCCTCAGCTCTTCAGCTCAAGGCTAGGGCTCTACACTTGAACCACAGTGCCACTTCCAGTTTTCTGAGTGGTTTATTGCAGATAAGAGTCTCATGGAAAGCACTGTATTGTAAGTGGAAAATGCAATATCTTAAATAAATATATTTAAAATTGGCAAAAATAAAAAAAGGCTGGCTTTGAACTGCGATCCTCAGATCTCAGCCTCCTGAGTAGCTAGGATTACTGGTGTGAACCACCAGCTCCCAACTTGTTAAAACTTATTTCTTAACAACTGATTAACATTGGGCTTCCCTTTCTAGCCAACCTTACCCTAAGTGCCCAGAAGGTTCTCAGGTTCTTTCCATCCTGGGATTTTTTGACCATCCTCCACTTGGAGAGAAGGTTTCCTCTAATTTTCTTTAATATGATTTTCAGCCTTTCTTCTTCCTTCCTCAATGCATTCTTGGCTTCTCTGGACACCTGGTATATCACCCTCTCAATACCTAACTCACTTAGATCTGCACACCATGCAACTACCAAGCTCCTCCTCCTCCACCTTCACACTTACAATGGAAGCTTCACACTAGCTTCAATTGTGCCTTGGAATGATGTTCAGTCATTAAAAAAAATGTATTGAGGGGCTGAAGGTATGGCTCAGTTGGTAGAGCACTAGCCAATGAGCAAAATCAGCAGGTATCAACTTTGAGTCTCAGACCTTAAAAAAAAAAGAAAAATGCATTATTAGATACACACATACATTTTCATTTTCAAATAAGCTTGTGTACATGCATTGCAGTTTTGAGGTACTCTGGATATCATATTGATATAAAACACAGGGAGGCATCAATCATCATTCTACATAGATAACATCCTTTCTCAAAAGTCCCAACTGCCTTAAAAAAAGATTGGTTATTAATACTCTGATTGACCAACATCTACCATTGAAGGAGTCCCCAACTTCATGCTCAGCTCCATTCCTGGATTGAGGGCCTTTCACTCTTACAGTCTGAGCATTTAGGGAGTTAGGTGACAGAATCAGGTCCCATCCTTGCTCCCTGTGTCCAGTACCATGTCTCATTCAGATCCCTGAATCATAATCCATGCAATTCTCTCCTTCCTATAAAACTGCCAGGTCTCCTGCTTAGGTTTGTCTGGAAGCCAAAGAATTTGCTCAGTGTCTTCCTGGGCTGATGGCAGAATGGAAACGGGCCTTGATTTGCTCATCTGTAAAACAGGAATAAAAATATGCTTTCAGAGATGCTCTGAGAATGAAAGCCAGTGTAGACAGAGTGCTTTTGAGATAATATTACTTGATAAATAAACACTGCCTGTTTTTCTTGAGGTGACTATTAATTACAGCAGGTCTGCAATTTGTGCACTGGTCTGCTCCTGTATGCTGCTGACTTCCCACAAAATATCTATACCTGCCTAACTCCTCATCTGAGATCCAACTCCTCTGCTCCTCCAGGGGAGTCCTGGTGTGTCTCTCTGCTGGCCAATGGTATAGTGGGGCCAACAAGTACTGGCTGATCCTTGATACCTCTCCTCAAGTCCACATTCAGTGGCTGTCATATTGGTAGCTTGAAATCACCCTAAGTGGAAGAATATGCAGACCGGAACTCAGTAAATACTACAAATTAGGGTTCTCCCATGCCCATAGTGGTTTACAAAGAATTTACAGACATATCACCACTGGCCTTTTATGCTCTGAGTCTGAGTAACTGGCCTGTATGTCTTTCAAGGGGAGGACTTCTCTTATACACATGGTTTAGCTTTGCATTTCAGTCATAATAAAGCTAAATCCATGCCAAAATCTGTAGAGCAACTGTCAGTTTAAGAATGAAAACAAGGTCTGGGAGTTGCTCAATTGTAAAGTAAGTGTGAAGCATGTAAGAGATCTTGGGTTCTATCCCCAGAAATGAAAGAAGGAAAGAAAAAAAAAGGAAACATTACACTAGAAAACAAAACAGAAGTCTAATGAATGAATTAGTTAACCTCGGGATTAACTGCACCACTAATGAGATCCACCTGGCACAGCCCAAATGTTTTCTTCCTGTCGGGCTCCCTCCTGGTGATGTAGTCTCCAGGGGCAAGGCCTGTACCTGAGCTCTTTGACAGAAATCCCCCAGGTTCTCAGTGACCTGGTCTCTAGCCAGTCCTGGAATGCCCCTTCTCTGGAAAGAGAATGGAAAAGAAGGTGAATCCTTCACAAGTTCTTTTTTTGGAAAAGACTCTAAACCAGAGATATTTGCTAAGGTAACAAGCATTTTAAAGGCTCATACTCATTTTACAAGCTCCATTTGTAATCATGGGAGGCTAAGCAAAAGCCCTGCCCCTCTGTGATGCAGTGACATCAAGACACCTCAGATGATTTCCAGATGACCTCTTAATTCTAGGCTTGAGTCACATTTAGATCAGGAAGAATGTTATTTTTCTTTCAGGATGGACTTTGTACTGTGTGTGTGTGTGTGTGTGTGTGTGAGTGAGAGAGAGAGAGAGAGAGAGAGAGAGGGAGGGAGAGGGAGAGAGAGAGAGAGAGAGATGCTGGTACTGGGCCTTGAACTCAGGGACTGAGCACTTTCCCTTATCTTTTTCCACTCAAGGCTAGTAGTCTACTACTTAAGCCACAGTCCCACCTCCTGCTTTTTGCTAGTTAACTGGAGATAAGAGCTTTGGGCTTCCCTGCCTGGCCTGGCTTCAAACCATGATCTTAAGATCTCAGTCTCCTGAGTAGCAAGGATTACAGGCATGAGCCATCAGCACCCAACTTTCTAATGTTTATTTTACCCTTCCAACTTTCTCTTTCTGCCTTCCTCCTAAAACTCTGAATATTCAAATACTTCAAGAAAGAGGACTTTAGACTCTCTTAATCTAACATCTTTCTAGTGAGGAGTAAAACTTCAGAGTATTTAGATTCTTCCAATACAAAGTGCCTGTAAGCTATTTCATGTTGTAATGAAACAGAAGTTATTTTATAACACTTATGAATTTAAATTTTTACCAACCTTTGTAATCAGATGTTCTTTCTCTTTTTTATATAAATTGGGAATCTCCTTCAGTGCGTAGATGTCAGATGATAGATCGGACAGGACCAGCAGGCTCTTCAGAGTTATGCTTAACAGGTCATCTTATTAATCAATTGCATTAAATTTTTCATGCCACACACACTTAGAAGAAGCACAAACATGAACTCAAGTACCTGAGATCCAGTACCACTTATATGTTTTCAGTATATTATCTGTGCCTCCCAATTAAGCTGTGAGAACTTTCAGGGAAAAAAATTCTGGTCTTAACCTCCTGTCTGTTGACATTGTATAGTTCATTTCGTTTTTCTGGGCCTAGGTTTCTTCATCACAGGGCTGGTAAGGAGATCACTGGCTCTAAATCTGCTAATTGACCTTCTTCCCATTCAACCTAGCCAAATATGCAATTGAACCAGGGGATCTCAAAGGAGACAGGATCAGTGGCTATTTACGAGGAATCAGAAAAGGCTGAAGCTCAGTAAGAGGATGTGGAAATTCATCAGGATTTGAAAATACCCCTTGTAAGAAGAATATAACTAGGGCTGGGATTGTAGCTTAGTGGGAGAGTGCTTGCCTAGCATGCCTGGGTTCAATTTCTTCGTGCTTCATAAACCAACAAAAAAGTCCACTAAATAAATCATAATTTTAAAAGGTATGCAGGCTTTGCATAGCAGGTAGCAGCTGTGGAAAAATTAAGCATGGGTAGGATTTCAATGAGCCAACACTGGGTCAGGGGCCAATCCAGGCAAAGAATATCACAAGCCAAAGGCACAGAGACTGGAAAATGCAAGGTGTTCACAAAGAACTAGGAGCAGTCATATATGACTGCATTTCAGGGGGCAACAAGGGAAGATGGGCTGGAAAGGTATTGTGGGGTCATAGCAAAGGGTCGAGACAGACACCATGTGTAGCTGAGCCAGAGTAAGTGACCTCACCGGTTAAGCTCGAGTGGGCTCTGCCCCTCCACAGTCAGCATGGGTGTAGGCCCAGAGCAGGGCATGTGGTGGCAACTGGCAGAGAAAGATGCTGGCAACACCTCCAGGCTTGTTTCTTCACCAGGAAACAAGGTTTCCTGTAACGCAGACCCATGAATCAGCATTTCCTCTGTCAATAATACACAGCAAGAATGGCAACAGCCTAGAGCTAAGGGGAATGGAAGAAAGGAAGGAATATTCCATGACATAGCTGGCCTCTGCTCTCTTTTCCCCTCATGAAACACTCTTGATAAGCTCCCAAGTAACACTCGGGTTTCATAAGTTTCTCAGAGAACCTCACAGTACCTAAGATTAAGTCCCACCGAAGTCTCCGCTCTCTTGTCATATTCTGAGTTTCTCTTACCATGAGAAAAAGGAAGATCGTTTTCTGAATTTTTTCACTATGTGAGAACTCAGCGTTAGTGACAGTGTTCCAGCCTGGCAGAGACTTGAGTATATGTATGATTCGCCTTTAAGTTTTTACACTTCCACGTCCAATATTTTATTTAATTCTCATGATAATCCTGTGAGGTACACAGGGAATATTATATCCGCTTTGTAAGCACTAAGACAAGGAGATGAAATACTTCTCTGGCAGATCTGTTTTGAAGAAGCCATGACTGATTTCCAAAAACAGAACTGACCTTTCAAAGACTCCAGCCCAGCAGTCTTTTCAAAGTCACAGACTTTTAAGAAACTCACAAACCAGGCGCCAGTGCCTCATGTCTATAATCCTTGCTATTCAGAAAGCTGAGACCTAGAGGATTGAAGTTCAAAGCCAGCCTAAGAAGAAAAGCTCATAAAAGTCCATCTCTAATTAACCAGCAAAATGCTGGATTAGAGATGCGGCTCAAGTGATAGAGATTCAGCCATGCGCAAGCAAGCTGAAGGAGAATGTAAGGCCCTGAGTTCAAGCCTCAGTAACAGCACACATGGAAAAAAAAGAGAGAGAACAAAGGAAAGAAGGAAGGAAGGAAGGAAGGAAGGAAGGAAGGAAGGAAGGAAGGGAAGTATACATTTAGTATACTTACTTCAAACATGTTTAATAATAGTAATTTAATCAACAAAACATGTACCTATTTTACATAGGGCCAGAAAGAACTCTATTCACTTCCTTATTCCACTCATTCTTTTATCAAAATAAATGAATCAATAACTTACTTACCTGACTCTGTTTTAGACACATTCAGTAGTGAAAAAAATACATAAAGAGTCCTTCCTCATAAAACTTATATCCTAATTTTGAGAAGTTCAGACATGAATGAGGGTAAAATCTAGAGTTTTCCATGTGTTTTGGAGAATAGAGAAAAAAAGAATGTACCATAGAAGTATTAGAGTACTGAGAGAGAGGTGATGCAGTTTTACATAGGATGTCCATGAACAATCTCACTAAAAATGTGACTTTTAAGACAAGATTAAAACTGGGAACCAGTGACTCCTGCCTATAATCCTAACTACTCAAGACACCTGGATCTGAGGATTGTGGTTTGAAGCCAGCCTAGTGAGGAAAAGTCTGTGAGACTTTTTTCTCCAAATAACCACAATAAAGCTGGAAGTAGAGTTGTGGCTCAAGTGGTAGAGTGCTATCCCTGAACAAAAAGCTATGGGACAGAACCCAGGTCCTTAGTTCAAACCCTAGTACCAGCACATACTCACATGCGCACGCACACAGAAATAATCAAGATCTAGAAAGGTAAGCAAGTCATGTAACTATGTAGGGTAAGGGGAGTTAGCAAAAGAAACAGGTTCTGATGCAGTACCTCTTGGCATGTTCAAGGAACAGTAAGTAATCAGGTATGGCTGCACTGAAAGAAGAAATGGGGAAAGGTTAGAAACATACAGTGGAGAATGAGGATTAGAACACGTAGGCCATACTAAAGAACTTGCTGTCCTTTACTAAAAACAAAACCAAAGGCAAAGCTAAAACCGATGAAGAAAAGGAGTAAAACACAAAGAACCACAACAAAAAGAGTGTCTACGTTTGATAGGGAAGATGAGAAAGAAGTAAGAAGTATGTGGAAAGAAAGAAAATTAAATAAATCCCTCCCCTTCTCTCCAGCCTGCCCCCCGACCCCCCAACTTTGGAATCCTGATCTAGATCCAACTTCCCTGACTGCTTCTTGTAGGAACCATACATGGCAAGCTCTTGTGTTGGACATAGGCTTCAGGCTAGTCTTGTTCATCTGGATTCACTAGGCCTCCCCTTGCTGAGCTACA